TGATCGCCAAACTCGGGCTGTAATTCTAGAGTTTTCTGTTTTCAATGTCAATACAAACTTGATTAGCGTTGCAACATACTTTTACGAGGCCTTAGCTACTGGTGCAGCCTACACTACGAGGAGAATTGAAACACTCGAGTTGTACAGCACTGAGTCAGGAGCTCTGATGTTTTTCTTAATTGGCCAGTTTCTGTTCATGGCAATGGTCCTCTTTTACTTCATAGTTATGTTGGTTCACCTTTATCAACAACGCCTAGGATTCTTTAAGTCTGTTTGGAACATGGTGGATTTCTTCATGATAATTTTCTCTGTAGCCTCTGTAGCATTTTACATGATAAGAGCTAAAAGCGTTTTGAACACTGTCAAATCTATTCGAGCCAATCCATATGAAATCGTGCATTTCCACACAGCCTTGGATTGGCTTAACCTTGAAAATGCGTCTATTGCTGTCGCTGTTTTCATGGTGACGGTCAAGCTTTTGAATCTAATTCGTTTTAACCCACATGTAATATACTTGTTTTCGTCTTTTCGGCAATCTATAGGCTGTCAACTCTCGTATGTGCTCCTTTTTATGATCGTGTTTAATGCATTTGTTGTGACAGGTATGATATTTTTCGGTGGTGTAGTATTAGAGTATTCTAGTTACCTCAATGCAGTCATGTCGCAATTCGAATTCCTGTTAGGAAAAGCAATCCCAATGGACGCTCTTCGAAGGGACAAACCCTTCATTGGTCCGACGTTTGTGTTTTTGTTTTGTATATTCACAAGTATATTTCTTATGAATATTCTGATTTCTATCCTTAACGAATCATACGGTGACGCAAAATCAAACGCAGAGGAAAATGCAAAAGAGCTTGAGATGGCACGTTTTATTGAGGAGCGTTTAATGGAAAATTTCCACGAGGGAATTAATCGGACTGAGTTTAAATTGTTTTGCGATGAGACAATATTGGTCAACATGTGCCTTTCTGAAGCTGAGCCATTTTGTTTGAATTCTGAATGTATCATCCAATGTACAGAGGAGCGAATGCTAAAAGTGGAAAAAAGACTTACTGTTCTCACTCGGCGAACAGAGTACATGGAGGCTGATTATTTGAGAGAGGAAAATGATTTTACTGACCTCTTGTTATTAATGATAAATCCTTCTATGCATGATCAGGAAAAGAAATCAAAAGATCATATCTGAATGCAGAGATGTCTTATTTTATAAGTTAACTTAGTTTTCTTTTATTGAAATTTTTTTAGGCTTTTCCTGGATGTGTAGATATTACTGAATGTTTTCTTAAGTAATTGTATCTTAGAAGTAAGGTTTGAGGGAATATTTCCACCACAAAAATTATCCAACGAAATATACGAGGTTTCGTCATCGTCGGATGTCATTGACAATTAGATAGTAGCTTAGTATTTGCATCGTAAAAGGATCTACAATTAAGCGTATAAGGTGGCAAAATACTTTAAGTGATATGAAATGTTCATTAAAAAACAGTTTTGCTCTGCATGATTGAGTATTGACCACTGGCTTTAAGATATCTGATGTATGACTTTCATATCTCAGGCAGTCAAGATTACTCCTGCATTTCCTCAAGATAGTAAAATGATCTTTGAGGTTCATTGGCTCCATATTGTGTTGAAATAGATACCAGCAATGGTAGCCGATATACTGCCTGATATACGAGATGACAAAGCCACCAAGTATTTGCAATGTAAAATAAGCCTGCCTGCTCCAAAGGCATGCTTGTGACACTAGACCACCCTCCAGCCATGGAGTGTTAGCACTGAGGCTGAGGTGTGTGACAAGCTTGACTGCCGATCCTGTAATGCAGGCTATCAACCAAGGTTATTAAGAAAAGCCCTTACAAGTCTCAGGGGAAAAAGCCAGTTGAAGGTCACTTCATTAAGAAATGTGTTCACTCCACTTACAACAGCAAAGTGGTAATCCCTTTTATAAGAACTTCGCTTATGAAGGAAAACTTAAAGGTCGTGTTTTGACTAATAAACATCATTTTCACCAATTCCTGATGAAAAGTGTTTTGTTTTCACTGTAGCCACAATCGGCGACAAAATTGTTGACACGTTGACCTTTTCAACCCTCTATTACTTCAATTTTATATTTAAGTAACGCTTTTGCCCCACCCCTCCAAAAAAACAAAACAAAAGCACAATAAGAGAACAAAACCAAACAAAACAAAACAATGTTTATCGTGATTCCATGAACCTTTAGTTACATATAGGGAACGGGGGAAGGGTCTTGTCAATGATCTAGAAAGTGGTAGAAACAGGAATGTTATTCTACACATAGATATAAATCTTCCACCATGATGTTTCAGCTAATTTTGACGCTGATCGAAGATACCTAGAGACAGCTGCATAATATTTTGTAAAACGAAATTATATTTAAGCATATCATTTGCTTATTCGAAGTTGAACGAAAAGCAAACACCTACATTGTTTATCAAAACAGCGGTATACCCAAGTTTCACTAACTAAGTTATTAAGAACTAAGCTCTCAAAGAAAATTTAAAATCTTCACCCGTTGTTTATCTGCCCATCTCAAAGGAATCAGCGAATACGCTATGCTTAATTCTCCATCGCATGCTTAATTCAAACGGTAACGTCAATGACCGATCCAGTCGTTATGAGGTATCACCCTGACACGTTAAAAATATAAATTGAAATCCTAAGTTAATTTAAAGGGAACATACACTTTATTAGTATGGCTTCAAATTTTCAAATTATTCTCCTGAAATGTCCACAAGACCCTGAACATATTTTGCCGTTTTCCCCGTAATTCATTAGTTACGTTAAAGAATTAAGGATCATATGAATTGTCTAACGACACGGTTATATCCTAAAGGAATAGAAGTTACGTAATGTCTATAACTTTTCTAGACTAAAAAGGCTTTCATTGAACACAGAGTATTCAGACTGCCCAAAATTTGTTATACAAACAAAAGCAGCGTCCGCAGGCTTATTTTGCTCTCCAATATGTTCTCACATTGCGTATTAAATTTTTATAGGTACAATTTATTTGTGGAAACAGAGATATCCACAGGGATCAGTCTGACTCTCCGTTGAAAGATTAAAAGTCAGACTTAACGTTCTGTAAACGACCAAATTCATAAAGTAAAAACTTGATATCGAAAATATTTTACTAATATTTACACAGTTACGTCTACGTCGTAACCAATGCATGTAGAAAATTGATGGTTCTCAAACTTTCTTTATGTCTTTTTCATGTAGGCCTATCTGATTCTTTGTTTTCTACAAGATTGGCGAGTGCTTATAATATTGTGTTTTATTATAAGAAGTCTTAGAAAGCAACGCAGTTTGGGTTTTTCAGTGAGGTTGACTTAAAGGATTGGGTAAAAAAAAGTGCGGCTTGGCTTTTTTTAATCTTCTCATTGAGTCCCCTGTAATAATTAAGAACATGACAATTTATTAGAGTCAATCAAGCCCTACAGGAATTCAGACTCATTCCTACATAAATTTATTTTTTAGATCAAAATAAAGGATTCTTATTTTGAAGGAGATCCCGTTTTGGCATATGTAGATTAAAATTAAAAGAGAAATTTCTCTGAGGTAGTTTTGTTTCGAGGGAACGAAGTGCTTGCAGTGGACTTTATCAATTGAAAACTGTCTTAATGGGCCCCCGCCTTTACCATTGTTGGAATATCCAAAACAAATGTGTTTAGGTAAGCCTTTCTATCCATAATTTAATGATTTGTAGTAACCATGTAACCATAGCCTAGGTAGTCTGGCAAAATAATATTACAGTTGGGGGTTCACGTTCATATTCACAAACGCACAAAACGAGTACAATACGTACAATGTGAATAAAATCAGTAGTCAAGCTAACAGTTCCAAAACAAGAAATCCATCAAAAGAATAAAAAACGAAAAGCTTGTGGAATCGATGCAGACCACCTGCTGTACCAGGCTCTCAGTCAGCCAAGACAATCAAAAAGTGGGTGTACCAAGGTTAACTTGACTTGTCAAGGACGTCGCTAAGCGTCGCTCACCTGCTACTTCAATTGTTTTCCATGAACAATGGCCTGAAAAGGGCTACTTTAACCAATTAAAAAGATAAAACTCCATGAGGTGGTAAAGAAAGAGATGTATTGAGAAGTTATTCTTTTTCATAACAACAAATGGGACCAAAGTAAAAAATAAATTTCCTGTTACATTCTATCTAAAAACTTATTCGTACTTCTGTTTGTCTATATTACCAACAATTTCCCTTCTTCAACCATTGCGAAAACCTGAGTAAAAAAATTGATGTGTTTTTTTTTCCTTCACTAGAATCTCAGCGGGGAAATTTTTCCTGTTACTAAGAAAATTATAATTAGAAGGATTCTGTACTGAAACTACAGTTACCTAACATGCTTTTGCTCTGTTTGGAACAAAGAAGAGAGAAGATGAATCCTCAAAGGCTCCCACTTTTATTAAAGGTGAGAAGGCTGACGTTTGAATGTTTTCCTGTTTAGACTGTTACCCTGGGGGATAAAAGTATGTTTTAACCAACAGAACGAAAAATCCCTCTCTCTATAGGTTCAAATCTTAACTGTGGTAACTAGTAGATGTTTAGGATACTCTAAAATTAGAAACAGGGTTTTTTTTTTTCGAGATTAGGATATTTAATGAACTTTTCGCGAAATGGGTTACTTATACTCTTAAAGCCTAAGTAAACGTATTTTTCTTGCTTGGTATCCATCGCCTTTATTCAAAGGAAGTTTTATGTTACAACGAAATTATATCGTAAACATTTGCCGTTACAATTGTTTTTTTTACTAGAACAATCGTCGTAGAATTACATACAGGGTTTCCACTCTTTATAAAGCATTACTAAGACGCTGCTGACAAAATTTTATGATTGCAATCTGTCGACGGAAAAGAGCTTTTACAATTAACTTCTCGAAGCATTATAATCTAAAGACACCCTTGTAGAGCACGATAAGTTAAAAAGAAGTTGAAAGTATTGCATTTTAGCGCACGTGAAGTGCATGTCTAAAGTCCGAAGCAGGACGGTTTGGACGAGGTGAAGAATTTGCTTTGTATTTTCCAACCTTAGATAAATGAATTAAGGAAATTAAAAATGTTGCAATTTTTGATTTCGTAGACTTCTTTTTGCTTGCTGGTGGATTCTATACCACGGCATCCGCTCCTGTACCTTTTCACGCGTCCTACGTCCCGCCTATAAGTAACACAAAAGTCCAAAACTTTCCCTTTTGTAAAAGGAATGATCCTGTTAATTTTAGTGAATTATAAACGGCGATAAGATTGGTTAAAGTTGTGATTAATCGAGTATTCAAACTTGTTGAACGCAGAAACCTATGATAACTGCTACAGTAATACTATTGGAGTTTTCAATTCGAATATCATTCTTGACAGCTTGATGAGGTCAAAAAGTCATAACCAAGTCAATACCCTACCACCATATGGACGTCTAAACGGTACCAGAAGAGATGGATGGTGCGCCAAATTAAATGATGACGAACAGCGGCTTCAAGTTGATCTCGGAAAAGTTATTGAAGTGTGCGCTGTTGCAACCCAAGGAGACATCAATGGCAATAAATGGGTGATAGACTTTAAACTAGCGCACTCTAAATCCTATGAGGACGGTTGGTCAACTTATAAGGATGCTAATGGCTCGGAAGCGGCTTTTTTTAGGCCAAAATGTCCTTCTAAACCTAAAGTATCTAACATTTCATGGTGTTGTATGGTTAGATTCAGTACTAAACGTTTTGAGCCCAGGAATAGGAGTTTATTGAACAGTCTGATCTTCAGGGTGGGAGTAATCCCGAGAAGGTAGCACTGACTGAATTTCTTTTCCTAGTTAGCAACCAGCTTTCTAGAGTAACCCACTGAAATTTTTTATTTCTGTAGGTCAAATGCATTGCACAGAGTCCCAGTAGGCATTATGATCCGCAAGTTGATGATGTTCAGATTTTCAATTCTCGTTGTAAGGAGCCGCACTGCCATGCGGGAGGGTCGAGCGTTCAAGCTCCAGATCAGACTAACACTCAGGGTCGTAGAATGACTGGGGAGAATGCGCCACTTCTGCTATGACACCGGAAAATAGTTAGACATTCTAGTCTTCTCGGATGAGTATGATAAGTATGATAAACGGTAAGCTCCGTTCCCTGCATCTCCACTGTACTGGCTCGCAGGAGACGTTAAAGAACTCCCG